TATGTTCCTATAATTTAGTATAGTAACTTTTTACTTTTCTTTCTTTTCTTTTTTCCTTCCCTCCTTCCTTCCTTCTCTCTTCTTCCTTTCTCTTGCTTCTTTCTCCCTCCCTTCTTTCTTTCTTTTTTCTTTCCTATATTTAAGCCATCTGGATGTCATCTTTTTGTTATGAGTTTGGGATCAAATTTTATATTCTTCCATATTGGTCCCAGGTTTCCTTATAGCACCTAATTCTGGCTCAATGAATTATACCCATTGAAATTTTCCTTAACAGATTTTTTTTTGTGTGTGGCATTTATCTCAGGGCAAAGATCCAAGAAGGCTGTTAATTTGCCTTTCTCTATAGCTTTCCTATCTGGCTTCTCCATCAGTCATCATGTCTCCTCCCATTTTGTCCTTAAACTCTCAGTGTTTTCTAAGGCAGTTTCCATATTTGCTTTCATTAATCTCTTTCCTCTAGAGCAGGGGTCTGCACAATTTTTCTGTAAACGGCCAGAGAGTAAATAGACTTTGCAACTACTCAGCGGGGCCACTGTAGCATGAAAGCAGCCGCAGACAAAAACTTGGGAATGTGTTTGGCATCGTTCCAATAAAACTTTGTTTCTGGACAGTAAAATTTGGATCTCGCTTGATTTTGCACATCACAAATTATATTCTTGTTTTGATTATTTTTCCTGACATTTATAAAATTTAAAAACCACTCCACTCATGAGCAACATAAAAATATAGCATGCTGGATTTGGTGCACAGGTCGTATTTTGCTGACCTCTCCTCTTGAGTAACCAAGGGCTTCTTCTCTCCTATCCTCTCTCTTCATTGTAAAAAGGAGCCACAGGTCTCATGCACACAACTCCAAGCAGTTTTTTTCTTTGAGCCAATGTTAGTATATACATAAACATATTAAAAACAATACATTTCAGTTACTCATCTTCCACCCTCAAATTCTGGGAATTACACCTTTTAAATGATCTTTGAATTTTATTTTCTGTGAGTGTTAAGCTTTTCTCTTGTTTAATGCATTGTAATTTTTTTTTTAGATGGAGTCTCGCTGTGTTGCCCTGGTAGGCTGGAGTGCAGTGGTGCCATCTCGTCTCACTCACTGTGATTCTCCTACCTCATCCTCTCAAGTAGTTAGGATTACAGGTGCATGCCACCATGCCCAGCTAAGTTTTGCATTTTTAGTAGAGACAGGGTTTTACCACATTGGCCAAGCTGGTCTCGAACTCCTGACCTCAGGTGATCCAGCTGCCTCGGCCTCCCAAAGTTCTGGGATTACAGGTGTGGGCCATGGCACCCAGCCTATTGTAAATGTTATATAAACATATTTTCTTTGGGAGAGGATATATTTTCTACTATAAGTAATTTTTAAAACAGTTGAATTTTTTTTATAGCCTTGTAGAATACTATTGCAAGATTATTTTGGTTTAAAACATATTTTTCTAGGAACATCAATACTTTCATTGCACAGAAAGTTTTATTTTGGAACAACAAATTTTTAGATAAAATACTTTATGTGCATTAAAATATTTGAAAATGTTTCCCCCTGATTAGATATAGCTCTACCACAGGAAAATCCGAAGTTTAGTGATGCAAGTCAGAGCTTACTTCATAGTCTTCTGGGCCATCATCTTGTAATCTGTAATACAAAATAGCACAGACATGCATTTGTTCAGTCTCTTATAGGCCATAAATTACTTCCATAAATATTCCCTTGAAATTTACTTTAAAATAAATAAATTAATTAATTAAACAACATTAAAACCAGAAAATGTTAAAATATTGATTGATCCTTTCTTCCTCACCATTCCCCCAACTTTACTTTTTGGGGATGAAGGAAAGTAAAAACTATAGTGTTTGTTTAAACTAAATACCAAATGGTCTTTAGATAAATTGCTTAGCAGTGAAAGATATATTATTTATCAACTGTCGGGGATATGTGGGAATTCCTTAACAGTGCTAAAAGAGGGAAGGGAACCAGCATTTATTGAGCTCCTACTTTGCATCTGTTTAATTCCTACAAACCTGCAAATTAGCCCTTATCATCTCTGTGTTCCGGTGTTGCATTCTGGGCCTGGAAGGTTTTAGTAACTTCCCCAAGGTAGCCCAGCTTGTTGAAGATAGAGCCCAAATTGGAACCTCAGAGTCTATGTCCACATGTATTTGCCCACTTCAAAGACTGAGCTTGGAAAATACAAGTTTTTTGACATGGTCATTAATATACAAATATTTATACATGATTAGCGTACTCTTCTACAGGCATATAGACATACTTTGAAACAACTGTAAACGTTATATAGAACAATCCTATTAATTGAGCTTTTATTGCTTCTTTCCAGAGTAGACATGACTTTCTGTTCTGCCGTTACATTTCCCTTAGCAAAACAAACAAATTCACTCACAAAATTGTCATTTTGACAATATCATTTGTGTTAGGGTTCCTTTGTGTTAGGACTCCAATATTATTTGTGTTAGAATTCCAAATGTTTTCCTCAGATTTGTCTTATTAGTTCTAGATATTAGTCTTTAATTTTTGTTGGGTCAGATTGCTCAGAGTCCGCTGTGTTAAATATCAGATAGTGATTCAAGTGTCAGGATTCTAAATTTTAAAATGTCAACTCCATAAAAATACCTTCCTTAAGCAATCTTCTTTTCCTCATCTTCCTCTATACCTCCTGTAATATTCCTTTATCCTTCCTCTTGGCACAGCCTTTGAATTTTAAACTGAAAGTGAGTTAGGCAATGATGGAACATTCCCTAAGTATTTACTCTAATGATGTTGTTGTTGTTGTTGTTATTATTGTTATTTTGAGACAGGATCTTACTCTGTCACCTAGGCTGGAGTACAGTGGCATGATTATGGCTCATTGCAGCCTTGACTTCCTGGGCTCCAGTGACCCTCCCACCTCGGCCTCCCAAGTAGCTGGAACCACAAGTGTGTGCCACCATGCCTGGCTAATTTTTGTATGTTTTTGTACAGATGGGGTTTTGCCCTGTTGCCCAGGCTGGTCTCAAATTCCTGAGCTCAAGCAGTCCACCCTCCTTGGCCTCCACAAGTGCTGGGATTACAGTCATGAGCCACTGCGTCCAGCCCTCTAATGATACTAAAATAGGTTTTAACTTTTAGATGTTTTGTTTTCTTAGATGTGTTCGTTTAAAGGAAACTTCCATGGTATCTAGTAAAATTAGTCAGGCTCCTTTTTAGCCACAAAATTGATATCTAAGACTTTACCATTACTGGGGTATTACAATCATTTAGCAAACTTTTTTTCTTTAATATATTTTTGTTGTAAATTCTGAAGTTATAATGCTATAAGAAAAGAGCAGCTAAAATAATGGGGGAATAGATGCAGTGTCATTGAAAAACAAACTAAAAATATAAGTATTATAGTCTAAAAATTAAAAGCCTAAAAAGGACTGAAAATGCAGTATCTGAAATTATTAATCATTTTGACAGGTTTGTGATCTTCACTTAAATCTGGGGTTCTAAGAATATACCATCACTTTGAATTGTGGGAGAAGTAAATTCACTACAAATAAATTTGAATAAAGAGATGTTTTTGTTAGAAATAGACTTGGCTGCCAGACGTGGTGGCTCATACTTGTAATCCTGTCACTTTGGGAGGTTGAGGTGGGAGGATTGCTTGAGTGCAGGAGTTCACGACCAGGCTGGGCAACATAGTGAAACCCCATCTCTACAAAAAATTAAAAATTCACTGGGCATGGTGGTATACACTCATAGTCCCAGATACTCAGGAGGCTGAGGTGGGAGGATCACTTGAGCCCAGGAGGTCAAGGCTGCCTTAAGCCATGATCATGCCACTGCACTCCAGCTGGGGCAACAGAGTGAGACCCTTTTTCAAAACAACAACAAAAAAGAAATAGGTTTGGCTATGAGTAACAAAGAGCTAAAAATAACACCAGTTTAAACAAGTTTAGAGCCAAGTTTATTTTACTCTCGGGAAAAGAGACTAGAGGTAGCCAGTTCAAGAGTAGTTTGGTGGTTCCACAATCACTAGGGACCCGGTCCTCTCTTGCTTGCCTTTCTGTCATCCTTAGTATGGGACCCTATGACCCAAGATAACTTCCTAGGCTCTGTACATCCTTGCAGTCAGGAAGAGGAGGTGGAACAAAGATACTTCCTACAAGTAATACATGGCACTTCTACCTAAATATCACTGGTCAAAACTTATGGCTGGATGCGGTGGTTCACACCTGGAATCCCAGCACTTTTGGAGACTGAAGTAGGAAGATGGCTTGAGGCCAGGATTTCAAGACTAACCTGGACAACACACTGAAACCCCATCTCTTCAAAATAAAAAATAAAAAGAAAATTAGCCAAGTGTGGTGGCATATACCTGTAGTCCTAGCAACTCAAAAGTCTGTGGTGAGAGGATTGCTTAAGTCTAGGAGTTAAAGGTTGCAGTGAGCTATGATTATGCCGCTGTACTCCAGCCTGGGCGACAGAATGAGACTATGTCTCAAACAAAACAAAAACAGAAACAAAACTTAGGTGCCCAAATTGGGAGCAAAGTTTTATTTGGGGACGATGAAAAAGTTCTGGAGATGGATGGTGGTGATATTATACAATTATGTGAATGTGCTTAATCACTATAAACTAAAAACGTTTAAAATGGTAAATTTTATCTTATGTATACTTTTCCACAAACAAACAAACTTAGTCATCAAGAAGGAGGGGAAGCAAAAATGTGGTCTTTATTTTGGATAGCCATTGTCCTAAAAATCTGAAGTTCCATTACAAATGAAGAAAAGGAGGTTAAATATTGGGGAGTACCTAGCAGTCTTTGAAACATGTGAAATTGATGAAAATATAAAAGGCAACAAACAAATACACAAAAAGGAAATACAGAAAGTCATGCATGACCTATGAAGTGAATTAATAAGTGGGAATTAATAATTATGCTTTCACTTGGGGGAAAAAAAAATAAAGGACCAACCTTTGGTGTCTAATCCAGAATCCTTATGTTCTTATATTTGTTTAGTGGCATTGCCAAAGCATGGCATCAGGCATATTTTGGGGAAGGATCTGGCCCAGTTATGTTGGATGAAGTACGTTGTACTGGGAATGAGCTTTCAATTGAGCAATGTCCGAAGAGTTCCTGGGGAGAGCACAACTGTGGCCATAAAGAAGATGCTGGAGTGTCCTGTACCCCTCTAACAGGTAAGGACCTCACTCCATTAATATACCAGTTCTTGCCCCCAGTACCATGTGGGCTTACCTCAGCTTTCCTTCTCCTTAATTTCAACAGCATTACCAAATGAGCTTACAAATAAATACACCAAATAAAACAAAAAGAACGCAAACTGTACATTAAGATACCTTCTTTTTATTCATAGTTACTCCTGAATTTTTCAATTTAAGGCTATATAGTCTTGTAAAGCTGGATCAGAAAATAGGACTTTGTTGCAATATATAGTACCCAATAGTCAAAATCAGTGTGCAATGATACATTTCAGATATTAGATGAAATAATTACATTTTTAGTTCATTTATCTGTTAATGTTTCTTGACTCAGAATGTGTTTAGAGCTGGTATTGATGCAATTGTTGATTAAAGCACACTGTGAAAGAAACCAAGTTAACTTTGCTGGGCACAATTTTCAGACTATTCCAAAGATAGCATGCTTGTCAAAATGAATCGTTTGTTACAAGAAGGGCATATATGAGTGCAAACTGGTGTATGTGTATGTACTTACATGTTTAGGGAGAAGAAGGAAATGGACAAGGCAAGAGAGGTTGAGTCATCAGAAACCATTTGGTAAAAAGAACTTTAAAAAAATGTATTATTTACATATTTCTTTAATGAAAATCAGTAACTTGTTAGAGTCTACGAAATACCAAATTTATATCTTTCTGTTGACATACTTCTATACATGCAGTTGTTTTTATTAGCAGATTAACACATTAATACACAGTAGAAATACATTTATGCCAGATTTTAAGCCAGAGTACTTCATTTTCTTGAACTGCAATTTTCCTCTCCTTCAAGGAGGATAGTCTTGTAACATTGCCGTTATGCTCAGATGAGATAATACATGTCATGATGCTTTGCAGGCAGTAAAGTAGTATATTAATAAATGGTTTGTCGCTCAGAGACCTTTACTTTAATAGATCCCTGAGATTCATGAAAAGTGTGACCCTTACCCAAGGTTATTTATATGTTTCATTGAGAATCTATGGATTACTTTGGATGGAAATGGCTTTTAAATCTACTTTTTTTGGAATTACATTTATTATACTATTTATTTGGTTAGAAGCTCTTTATAGAATTGTAGGCAAATTAATTATCATTTGAGTTAATGAGATTCAAATTCAGATCTGTATTATCAATAAAAAACAAAGGCGAGACATATCTTCTAGTTTTTATAATTCATGAATGCCTAACAAATACAGATGCCTTGACATGATACACTGTCCTTTATCCGGAATAGTTTTTTCTGTCTTCTTATTTCAATGTATATTTTTTTCATTTGTAGTTAAAATTCTGAGCTATTTCCAAGTTACTATATTTTCTTACTTTTCAAATTTAAATGCCATGTATTGCTCTGACTTAAGACTCAAGTTATAGGAAATAACTGAAATATTATTTAATCTAGAGAAATCTAAATAGATATTTAGAAATTATATCAGGATATATTTTCCTACTTAGAGAATAGGAATACAAGTAAAAAGCAAAGAATATATATATGTATGTGTGTGTGTGTGTGTATATATATATACATATATACACGTGTGTGTGTGTATGTGTGTGTGTGTGTGTGTGTGTGTGTGTATCTTTTATTTTATTTTTCTGAGACAAGTCTTGCTCTGATGTCCAGGCTGGAGTGCAGTGGTGTGATCTCTGTTCACTGTAACCTCTGCTTCTTGGGCTCAAGAGATTCTCCCACCTCAGCCTCCCAAGTAGCTGGGACTACAGGCGTGCGACACCATGTCCAGCTAATTTTTGTATTTTTAGTAGAGATGGGGTTTCACCATGTTGGCCAGGCTGGTCTCGAACTCCTGACTTCAGGTGATCCAGCCATCTCAGCCTCCCAAAATGCTGGGATTACAGGCATGAGCCACTGTGCCTGGCTGGAAATAATATTTCATTAGGATGGAAATGTGTTATGTCAAACTTCAGTAACAGTGCAGTAACCTTGGGTCATTTCGCACAGATGTAATATAAATTTAACAAAAGGCTTAGAGGAGGCCTAAATATGGTGATATTTCTTGTGAAATGAAAATGTTGTTTTGCCTTTTTTTGAAAGTTGACTTGCTTAGTCTCTGTGTCTCCTCCTTGTCACAGATGGGGTCATCAGACTTGCAGGTGGGAAAGGCAGCCATGAGGGTCTCTTGGAGGTGTATTACAGCGGCCAGTGGGGGACTGTCTGTGATGATGGCTGGACTGAGCTGAATACATACGTGGTTTGTCGACAGTTGGGATTTAAGTAAGGTCCATTAATATAAAGGCAGTTAAATGCCAGATTATATTGTTAAAAGGCTTATTATGTTAATCCCTAATTTTTTATAGTAATAAAAATACATGTAATTTTTATAGTAATAAAAATACATGTTCTCTCCTACCTGTATTTCTAAGTACAACAATGAAAAGTAATGACATTTTCTAAGATGATGAATAACCACCCCTTGCTGTTTATTTCATTTACCTTTCTTGCCATGACACCTCTTCTTGAATAATTGATTGAAGCCAGGGGTGACTTATAAGTACTCTTGTATCTATTCAAGTAAGACTTTGCTCATTTTTATTCTGACACGTCATTACTATTGGATGTTTTTAGTTTTGACATCATTGTCTAAAATTGCAGAGAAGTCCAGTGTCAAGTACTTTGGTATTACGTTATTCCCTTTCTCAGAATGTGATGATAATAACATCACTTTTCTTTGAGAAAAACAGCCCTCTTGTTATGAGATGACCTTTAGAACTCGCCTTTGACCTCACTCTCTTAAAAGCTGAGTATCACACTTTGGGACATATATTTTATGCCACACACATAATGCATTCCAGAGTAAAGGCTTAAGTTGGTCGAAGTGACTACAAATGATGCCTTTGAGTTAAATATTTGAATGAAAGCTATGAATGCCCATTCTCTCTTGTTTTCCATATTTCTATGTCAGGCTCGAAGTGATTGTCTCATGCTTGAAAAAAACTTGTAGAATTATTTCATTTCAGTTTGATTAGAGCTGATTGCAGATATTCACTACACTTTAAAAAGTACCGTCATTCAAGCTAGGCAAAGCCATGTTAAACATATTATTTTTAAATTTACAAAATCATGCTAAACCATTGGAAAATGATTAAAATAAAAAAACTCCATAATTTTTCATCCTTATGCTATTATCATAATTTGTGTACATCACTTCATATCAGCTGTAGTAATGGACCTGTAATTTTTTTATTCATGTTTTTAACCTTATATTGCTACATAGTCACAATTTTTAATGATAATATTAATCAAATTTTCATACTGTAATTTACTTAATATTAGGTTAGCTTACTTTTTCCTATGATAAGTAATGCTATCATGAAGCTACAGTATTCATATGATTTTCACCTATTTTGACTTTTCTTGGGTGGAGAAGTTATTGTAATTATTGGGAAAAAGGGTATGGTATAACAGCCAAATAAATACAATATACTGACAATTAACAAGAATTGCTTAATAAATATCACTTTATATTCAAGTGAATCTCTGTTAGACTACCAACTATACTGTTTTCACAGATTTAGAGAGATTCATAAAATCATATTATTTCTATTTTCATATTTAGAGAGATTCGTAAATCCTGTTATTTTTATTTTTCACATTTTTTCCTTATTAATGAAGACAATTGATACTGATTTTTAAAAATATTTTATTTGTCTACAAATCTATGCACAGTGTAATCACATTTATTTGTTTTAAAAATGTTCTCAATAATGTGTGTAAAAAGCTCTAAATGAATGTGTTAGAAGGTGGTAAAAGCATGTGTTACATTTGAGTTTACAAAGGAATTTTTGAAAAAGAATGTTCTTTTGTAATGAGAAAAGGTAAACTTTGGGTTTCTTTGTACAATTGCAGTTCCAAAGTAGAATGACTTCCTGTTATTTGTTATGTAGTTGCTATGGACAGATGATAATCTGATGCATTTTTTGAAAAAAAACGGTTTATAAGTTAAAAATGAGCAATATGCAATTTAGGCTTATTACTTTTCTAGCTGAGGCTTGATTAGTCAGCAAAATAAAAGGGAAAAAACACAGAATGATTATTTCATTGTTTTAATTTATTAAAATGTTCATCTTATCAAATAAATTTAATAAATACTTAGATAGAAAAAAATGAAGAAAATTCATGCCAGATAGAAAGATCTCTTCATATTCTTAGTACAGAAATAATAAAAACATCAAGTAAGGGAATTATTCTGAATAAGAGTTGGATTTTATAGACTGTTAGAACTGAAAGACATCTTAAAGATTTTTAAGTTTAGTGATTTCTGGAGGTTTGGATTTTATGGAACAAAAGGAAATAAAATCAGGAGAATGAAAGAAGGTGCAGCTTGACTTACTTTCTAATTTAAAAAGTTTTTTCAGATCTTTCCTATTCTATTATATAAATAAATGTATATTTATTATACATTTAGGATTTTTTTTTCCTGTAGTGCAGTGTTACAAATAAACTCAATTGGAATGCAAATATAATTAATAAAAATTTTGAAAGTTGAATTTTCATACCTTATGAAAAGCTAAGAACATTGTAATTCTGATTTTGCAGGGCTGAAATCTAAATGTAATCATGGATTAGGTATAGTGCTTGAGCAATCACTGAATTAATCCACCCTTTTCATTTTGAATGAGAGAAAACCAAAGAGGCCTAGAGAAGCTGCTGAAATCAAATGAGTTCAGAGGGTGCATCAGAAGCAAAATGAGACAGGTGTTCTCACTTTCTGCACAATTTCTATGGTCAGAGATCTGAGATTGATCTCTGCATTCTCTCTGGTGAGATAAATTGTAGGCAAAATGCAAGAATGAATGGGGAAAAAGGATTAATTTTTCCATTTGTTATTCATTGAAATAATCAAACATTTTTAAGGTGATTAAAACGTGATGGAGCGAACATAGCTCTTAAAACTGAGCCCCCAAAGTAGGAGAAATAAGAGATACTTATCCTCTGAACTCATGACACTGAATTAGATTGCTTGTATTAAATGTTTTGCGGTTCCCTGAAACAAGAGACAGCAGTTCTACACATAGTGTTTATTTAATTGTCACAGATATGGTAAACAAACGTCTGCCAACCATTTTGAAGAAAGCACAGGGCCCATATGGTTGGATGATGTGAGCTGCTCAGGAAAGGAAACCAGATTTCTTCAGTGTTCCAGGCGACAGTGGGGAAGGCATGACTGTAGCCACCAGGAGGATGTTGGCATTGCCTGCTACCCTGGCAGCGAGGGACACAGGCTTTCTCTGGGTGAGGACTGGCTGCAGCTCTCAAGTTTTCATAATTCAATAGCCATTGCACCTCTAACCACTGGCCTAGAATGTAAAATGTTTCTCATCTTTGGCTTTTTTTTTTTTGGTCCATTTCCCGTAACTGTCTAATTTTCAGTAATTTTTATGCACAGAAAAATAATCTTTGGAGTCTCTGCACCAACATAAAATTTCTACCCCTAAATTGTTTTTCTTCACTTAGAAAATTAAGTTTCTCACTAAAAATGTTTAGAATCACCTGTATCTGAACAATGGAATAAAGAAACTGCAGTATCTATTCCCCTTACTCCTTGGTCACTTATTCTGATTTGTATTTACCTTGAATTCTAGTGAGCTACTTGGGACAGGATTAAAAAAAAAAAGACTATTCTCCTGTCCCTGTCTCATGGTTCGTTTCTTCTCTAGTCCTGAAGCCTTGTCATTTATTGGTCACCAGCCATCCATTGCTCTTTTAAGTTTCTCAGTAGTCTTCTGAGTAGATTCCTTAATAGCTCACATATCTTTCTAACATAACTTATTATTTTAGAAACCCACCAGGACCTCTGTTACTCTTCATTTACATTTTTTTAGACTTGTTGTTGGATAAAAGGTAAGTAGCTCCTCTAACAGTCTTGAAATAATTATGGATAAAGATCTTTTTGAGAGTAGAGAACAATTAAACATTCTTGACAAGTTTCTTAATGTCTGGTGAGGAGGGCAGAATATATATGAATGAAATATACGGAGGGAAATATTCAAAATACTTTGTAGTATGCTATCACAGCTTTTTATATATCTATCTCTCTCTGTGTGTAAATGTACATGAATAGATGTTAAAATAGCCATAGGTAATCTTTACTTGTAACCTTGGATTGAATCAACTCTTTTGTATTCTCCTGTTTTGAGACTGTGAAGCTGAAATCTTCATGTTATAAAATGATAAAACTTTTGAATCTCAGTATTAACCGTATTGTATACTGTAGATTTGTCAAAGTCTGTGGCTGATTCTTCCATTGTACTCTACACCGTGAGATCTTGGTGACACTGCATTAATCTAGTATTATACCAAGTAGAAGTATATGTTTTTATTCCATCCCTTGCAGGACAAATTTCCATTTTTCTTTCTTTTTATTTTGTTCTCCTTTCCCCTTGCTCCTTATTCTTATGAAATATTTGTGATTCTCCAAAGATTATGTGATGGATGAATTGCACGTGGCTGGGGAGATAGAACTTGTTTGCGGGAAGTGGATCATCTCGGCCCCAGATAGCAGGGATTGGAATTATGGGGTGATCTATGCAAATATGCTCTGCCAGCTCCCAGTGACGAAATACTCTGCGATCTTAGTTCTCTGTAGGCCTGTGTTGTTAAATACATCATATGGTTGGAATAACTAATCTTTTCAGTTCTCTTGAAAATATTTTAAATTCTAGGACTCTAGATGTATTTTTTCTTTTTAATTTAAAAACCCGAGGATGATAATCATTAATAAAACATATGGTCATTATTATGAATCTCTTTATTCTAATCTCAGCAATGTGTCTATTCATTAAAGTCATTTGTCTGAAGAACATTATGTCTGAGCCAAATGACCTTTTGGGATAGAATCATACTTCTGTTTGTTCATTCATAGATCATTTGGCGTCCCACCTATTAAAAACTACTATATATATATTTATTTATTTTTGAGGCAGAGTCTCTCTCTGTTGCCCAGGCTGGAGTGCAATGGCACAATCTTGGCTCACTGCAACTTCCACCTCCTGGGTTCGAGTGATTCTCCCTGCCTCAGCCTCCTGAGTAGCTGGGACCACAGGTGCCTACCACCACGCCCGGCTAACTTTTGTATTTTTCGTAGAGACAGGGTTTCGCCATGTTGGCCAGGCTGGTCTCAAAATCCTGACCTCAGGTGATCTGCCCGCTTGGCCTCCCAAAGGGCTGAGATTACAGGCATGAGCCACTATGTCTGGCCTAAAATTAGGCTTTTAATGTGTATGTATGCATGCTAGAATTTATGTTTTTTCTAAAAGACAGTATTATTTTCTAAAAATAATATGTTACAGGAAAAGTTAAAGAGAACTACTGAAAGTCAGCTTGAGACATATAATTAAAGATAACTGTATACCTATAGGATTGTTTGGTTTTCTCAAAAACTCAATATTTATTTAAGATTTTAGAAATAAAACATGGTATGTATTATTGTTTCTGTAGCAACACGAACTTAATAGTGACAGTATATGGATAGAATGACTTTTGTCATCCAATTTCCCTTCAAGAATTAAGAATTCAATAATTTTTTAGAATGAATGGCTAAAATTAAGTTCAGAAATACAATATGCATTATTTTTTACAAAGCATGTAAGTTAGACTTTAAAAATACCTTATCATTTTTATTTTTAGAGTACATTAAAAACTGCCTGTAAAACTACTAGAATGGAACATGTAGATCTAATTTCATGTACAAATGTTTTCTTAATTTTGAACCAAATATCCAAAAATAGAAAAAATGAAAACCTTAAGAAAAGAACTTCATTGGTTTGATTTTGGTATCTGAGGATTACTTTTTCACTTTCTCTTCTTGCAAAGAACCCCCAAATTTCAGATATATTAATAAGAAACGTGAAGTTTCAATATTGTGTTATAGCTAAAACTCCAAGTTTTTATTCAGCTAATAGGAAGCAGTACGTACATAGAGTTGGCAGTCCATAAACATTTGTTGAGTTTGATTTTGCTCTGTGATCCTGATGTACTGCCTGTCCCATGAAGTGAACATGATCAGGGACGGAGAATGGGGAGCCAGCAACTCTTGGGACAGCACAGAAGGAAGGAGAAGTAAAAAATGGGTCAGAGAAATAGAAATAGAATGTGTCCATCTTGCTAACAGTCCTGTCTTTTAGTTAACAAATGTTGATTTAGTAATTTCACATGTTGATTTAAACATATATTAAATAATACATTGTCCATTACCTGCAAAATTCTACCTCCTTAAATCTCCTGATAATTTTACCATGCTTTACTGTATTCCCTAAATCCCTACCAATAAATCTTGGTCCTGAAGCTGGAGACCCTTCCAGAAACTAGGTAATCAAACATGTGAGTGTTACCTTGCTTGGGTTGCTATAACAAAGTTCCACAGAGGTGGCTTAAACACAGGTATTTATTGTTTCACAGTTCCAGGGGCTAGGAGTCCAAAATGGAATGTCAGCAGGGTTGGATCCTTCAGAAAGAACTGTGAGGGAAGGGCTGTGAGAGAGATATGCTCCAGGCCTCTCTCCTTAGCTTGTTTACGGCAGTTCTCTCCCTGTGTCTCTTCATATCATCTTCCTTCTTCATGTCCAAATTTCTCCATTTTATAGGAACGCCAGCATATTTGATTAGGACCCATGCTAATGACATCACAATTCAACTCATGCAAGTCACAGTGAGGAGTTTCAATTCAACATTGTACTTATTGGTGTGGTTATATGTGACACTTTACGAAGCGCGTCATTTGTATTAACTTAGATAAACCTCAATTTGCTAGAGTTCAGTTTCTCAACTTTGAAGTCAGTAATTTTGGTGACTTAATTCCTTCCCTTGAATCAATAGTAAATAGAAAGCTTTAGATGGAAATTGTCCCTATTTACTCCTCTTTTTTTCTTTTTTGCCTCCTCCAGCATTAGACTTGTATCAAGTTACCCAACTATGAATGCCAAGGTTGTGTCTGTTTATATCTTTCTAAAAATCTTGGCTTTGGAGTATAAACTTCTAGCTGTGTTCATGGATAAGTGAACGGACATGAAGCAAAACCAACCTCAAGTTAATGTTCTTTTACTATTTAGAAGTAAGGTGTAATAAAATAATTCGCAGTTTTATAATGCTATTTATTCATTCAGCAAACAGCAATTGCATATCCTCTATATGCCAGGCACTGTTCCACATTCTGGGGATACAGAGTTGAGGAAGGTGAGCACTTTGAATTCAAGGCTGCAAGAGACATTATGAAAGTGGGTAAAATTTTTATTGATGTATCTCCTCTCCCTCAAAAAAGTATTCCCCATCTGATTTTATAGCTGATTTAAAAGAACAATTGTGTTTTGTAGAGTTGCTCATGCTTTAGCATCAGTTTGCTTTTTTGGGCTTTTCTAATACGTTTGAATCACGACTTAGGTTTTCCTGTCAGACTGATGGATGGAGAAAATAAGAAAGAAGGACGAGTAGAGGTTTTTATCAATGGCCAGTGGGGAACAATCTGTGATGATGGATGGACTGATAAGGATGCAGCTGTGATCTGTCGTCAGCTTGGTTATAAGTAAGAAAAATCTAATTATTTGAGATGGTTACTGATGAGCATATCTGATTTTTTAAATGCTTATTCTAATGAGTTACTTCTTAAAATGAGCTTCTCTCATTCATTTGAAAATACTGGCCACGTATTGACTTGATCCAGAATTATATAAGAAGTAATAAGTAGAGCCTACTCATATTTTTCTATCTTCTCACAAGAAATATTATGTCACATAAGAAATGTAGCTTTTTATCTAATAACAAAATAGTCTAATAACTCTGACTAGTCATAATACTGCTTGTATCACTTCTATCAGTTAACCTTTTCTCTGTGATTGATGTTTCAACACTGCAGCCTTTTAAGAGACTCTACAGTTACTGAAATTACTGTTGGTTCTCATTTTTCATGATAGTTAAAAAGTTGCTGTGGACACTGAATTAGCAAATGCTGAGCCATTGCTCCTAGAGCTGAGGTCACTGCTCTCCCTTCTTGTTTCAGCTTTCATACTTGTAAACAGTTGTCCTTTTTTACAGTCTATATGGTGCCATTTTTTTTTTTTTTTGGCATTTCTGTGCTTTCTTTGTTGATGACTTCACTGTTTAAAATGGCCCCCATTTGTAGTACTGAAGTGCCGTGTAGTGTTCCTAAGTCCAAAAAGGCTGTGATGTGATTTAAAGAGAAAATGCATGCATTAGATAAGCTTCACTCAGGCACAAGTTGCAATAAGAACATGGCACTAAACAGAATGTGAAAAGGACACTTGTTTACGGTATGAGAGCAGAAAAAAGAAGGCAGATCATCTGTTTTACTGGCTCTGCATATGTCATGAATGACTGTGAAAGCACCCTAAATAATGTTTTTGAAGTAACAAAAATATGGAATATGTTATAATTTAGAGGGCTATAAATTTAAGATAATATACATAAATTGCCTAGCTCAGAGTAGATTACTAATAGTAATTTGGATTTAAAAATATATCCTTAATTATATATCTATATACATATTAAATATTGAACAGTTCATATGGTTATTTTCTATAAAGAATACATTACATGTTTATTTTAAAAAGCATTTCTGTTTTAATAAAGGTTCAGATTTAGGGGGTAAACTTCAAAATCAAAGTTGTTTCTGGTTACTCAATACTACTTCAATTTACAGCTGTTTTGGACCCATTTGCAATTCCAGTTATCCTACAGCCAATGAATCCTTTATCTATGATAGAAATTTTCAGTTTTCAAAATATGGGGCAGTAGAGGAAAGTAGGGAGAGTCTACATTAGATGTGAAAGTGAATTTAGTCAGTGATTAATTTTAAATTTCTTTTGCTCACTGTGTTTCTATCACTCCTTTTTCCATTTGAAAAAAAAAATTATTATTCTTGCATTACATTCTCAGTACATTTCCTCACTCCAAATCAGCCATTAAAAGATATTGCTCTTTGAGACTGGTTTCTTGGCCATATTTTAATTTTATTGTTTTGGTGGAGGTGATCCAAGAAACCTAGTATTACCTATGGAGGTATGAAGGGAAGGATTGGCACCAAAGTTGATCCTCAAATTGTGTGTCTCAGCCAAGTTTAAGGAGAGAAAAATTTCCTAAGCATGTTCATCAGGCATCATCAACACACATATAGTTGTGTGTTATTACTTGAATTTCTTTCTAAATTTTTCATTGCTTTTTATTTATCATCATTGATACGGTTAGGATATTTGTCCCCACCCAAATCTCACGTTGAGATGTAATCTGTAATGTTGGAGGTGGGATCTGGTGGGAGGTGTTTGGATCATGGGGGCCGATCCCTTATGAATGGCTTAGGCCATGCCCTTGCTGATGCATGAACTCATGCTCTGAGTTCACATGGGATCTGGTTGTTTAAAAGTGTGTGGCACCCTCCCACCCCGCTTGTTGCTGCTACTTTTACTGTGTGGCCTGCCTGTTCCCCCTTCACCTTCTGCCATGATTGAAAACTCCCTGGGATTCAGCAGAAGCCAAGCAGATGCTAGTACCCTGTTTCCTATAAAACCTGTAGAACTACGAGCCAATTAAACATCTTTTCTTTATAACTTACCCAGTCACAGGTATTTCTTTATAGCCATAGAAGAATGGACTAACACAATCATTTAGTCCATTTAACATTTAACTCAAAAGTGAATTTAGCCTCATATTAGGTTGGCTATGGTCAAAACAACAAAGGATAACAGGTGTTGGTGAGGATGTGGAGAAACTAGAACCCTTATACATTGTTGGTGGGAATGCAGAATGGTACAGCCACTGTTGAAAATAATATGGAAACAGTATGGAAAACAGTTCCTTAAAAAGTTAAAAATAGAACTACCATATGATCTAGATAACCCATTCCTGGGTATATAGCCAAAAAAATTAAAATTAGGGTGTCAAAGAAATATCTGCACACCCATATTCATTGCAGCATTATTTGCACTAGCCAAGATATGCAAACAGCCTAAATGAATGGATAAAGAAAATGTGGGCTCTGTGTGTGTGTGTGTGTATACTGTTGTGTATATATATATATATATATATATATATATAGTTACCGAATATACAGTTGTGTGTGTGTGTGTACTGTGTATATCTATACAGTTACTGAATATACAGTTGTGTGTGTGTGTGTATATAGATATACACACACACAGTTACAGTTACTGAAAGACAAATACTGCATGATTCCACTTACATGAGATAACTAAAATAGTCAAACTTATGGAAGCAGAAAAGAATGGTGGTTATCAGGGATTGGGAGGAGAAGAAAATGGGAAATTATTTTTCAATGAGTATAAAGTTTCTGTCATGCAAAATGAATAAGTTCTAGAGATCTGCTATACAACATAGTACCTACAGTTAACAATATGGTATTATATAGTTCAAAATATGTTGAGGGTATAGATCGCATTTGTGTTCTTCCCAAAACCAAATGAAGACAGAAACAGAACATAAGCAAAAAACAAAACAAACAAACCTCAGAAAAGAACACAAGGAAATTTTTGGAGGTGATGGATATATTTAGCATCTTGGTTGTGGTAATGGTATTACAGATGCATGCATATGTCCAAACTGATGAAAGTTTTTAATATCAATTATACCTGAATAAAGCTTAAAAAAAAGTGATTTTAGATGAGAAACACAATCTAGATTAAGTGAACAAAAGTTTGTTGCAACTTTCAATATTTCTGTAATATTTATCAATCAGGAAAAGCATCAAAAGACTTTATAATTGTGTTTTAAAGCTTCATAAGTAATTCAGTGATTTAATGTTACTATAACAAATTGTATAACATAATCTGCGATTTGCCATCAAATAGTATTTAAATGAGAATTGTTTAGCTGTTTGAGTAATCTAAATATACTTGAATATTTTTACAATTTCCCACTGAGGGGAAATTGGATTTTATATAAGAATATATATATTTCATATTAAAATATATTTTAAATATTTATATATTTAAACAATGTATATATAAATCATATACATTATTTATATAAATTTATATAAACAATGTATATATAATGGATATTTAATATATATATTTATATATATTAAATAATATATATATTTTAAATATATACATATAATTATAAGCAGGTATGTGACCACAGTAGAGGATCCTTTTTTCTCCATGTCTATTTTGAATCATGAAAAATATTTAATAAAGTATTTTTTTGTAGAAATCAATCCAGGAAACTTTGAAGCTGTTAAAAGGCTTGTGCCTCATAAATAGGAATTTCAGAGATCTGTCCTCCAGCCAGCTCTATAGTGCATGAGGATTACTCCTTGGAAACACTGAGAATCAAAATATTATTAGAAAGCCTTTTCATAATGGCAAAAAGAGAAATGAGATAATAAAAAAGGGTATGTGAATGGTGACTAATACAGATATGCTCAAAGTGAACAGAAAAGTAAAAGGCATTATTTAATGATGCATTACATAATGTCTGACAAAGTCCAGAGTATGAGCATATTGTTTATAGATTGTTGCTAGAGAATTTGTTGAGATCGGTTAAATTCGTTGATATAGACTGAGTAGTCATGAGGGAAATTCCATTCTATTTACACTTTATATGGATCCATTAGCATATGTTCCAATATAGCATTGTTTTTGAACATATTTATTAGAGTATTAATCCTAAAAATGGTTTAAATGGTATATCCTCACTGCTTTAGTAGAGACCTAAAATTAAGTATATCTGATACCTATTTTACATTTAAATAGCTGCAAAGGATTTAATTTCTAGCATATTTGTATGACATTTGAATATAAAAGTTACACCACTCTTTTAATTATATCTGGTGAAATATATAGTAATTTGATTCTGTTACCATTTAAAAAAATACATGAACAAAAAATACTTCTTTGACCGGAAATTTTACAATTTTTTTTTTCTCTTTGAAATTGTATTTTAAATTTTCTTCCCCCATGGAATCTCAATGTTATCATGCCTTAAAAATATGTATGTATATGTATATATGCACACATATATGCATACATATACATATACACATGTATATGCATATATACAGATATACACACATGTAAATGGAGAGAGAGAAATTATTCTAACAGATTTCAAGTTTCTCTAGATTTTATACTTTCTAGTATACAACTGATAATAAACAACAAATTTTAATAAAATTACTAAATAATTATTAAACATAGAAATTAAATTTTACAAAAGCTCTCATTTTTTTAATTAGACCAGTGGGTTGGGTTTGTGCTGCTTAGATTAAGAAAGCTTCATTGCCATCATATATTTCTAATTTTTTTTTTTTTGAGATGGAGTTTTACTCTGTCGCCAGGCTGGAGTGCAGTGGCGTCATCTTGGCTCACTGCAACCTCTGCTGCCTGGGTTCAAGCAATTCTCCTGCCTCAGTCTTCCAAGTAGCTAAGACTACAGATACGAGCCACCATGCCCGTCTAATTTTTGTGTTTTTAGTAGAGATGGGATTTCAAACCATGTTGGCCAGGATGGTCTCGATCTCCTGACCTTGTCCACCCGTCTTGGCCTCCC